CTCTAAAATGATTATATGATTTCCAGTCCCCTTGGTGGTAGTTGGGACATGTGATGCCATTTTGTCTCATGAGAAATGTAGAGAACTTGTCTAGGAAGATTTATTGCTGTTAAAATGGATCATGAGATAAGGATACACATTCTTCCGTATTAGCCTTTGATTGTAAATGGGTAAGAAATTGATGCCTGGAGCCAATTGTAGCCAATCTCCTTATGTTCTGATATGAGTGTTGTCAAGACGGTTCATTTTACACGTCAATTTGACTGGGCCACAGGGTGCCTAGATATTTGTTCAAAAATTATCATGGGTGTTTCTGTAATGGTGTTTTGGGATGACATTAACATTTAAGTCAGTAGACTGAGGAAAGCAGACTGCCCTCCGTAATGTAGGTGGGCCTCATTCAACCAGTTGAAGACCTGGATAGAACAAAAGGCTGCCCCTCCCCTGAGTGGGAGAGAATTCTCCAGCCTGATGTTCTTTGGTCTGAAACATTGGCTCTTTCTGGTTCTACAGAGGCTTTGGATCTTTGGATTTGAACTAAGACATCAGTTCTGCAGATTTTGGACTTGTTGTCTTCCACAATCACAAGCCAATTCCTTATAATAAATCTCTTTCTATATATTTACACATCGTATTGGTTCTGCTTCTCTGGAGAACACTGACTAGTAGTACAGGTGTATCATACAAGGATGATGAGCAAAAGATGGAGAACACCTGATTCTTTGATGACATCATTGGCAAATTAATTAATCAACCCTCCTACTCGATTACTTTAATATTTCTTGTTAAGTCATGAAGAGAAAGAGAGAAAGGTAGGTTGGGGAGAGATCCTTTGTGTTTGATTAATTTGAAATTGGTTCTTCTTTTACTCATTACTTGTAGCCAAAACCATACCCTAACTATTACAGTCATGAAGACTTTGTACTGGGTGCTCTCTACGGTTCCTTCCTGGTCTAAGATTTCATTATTTATCTGTCTGCCCAGTTCACAAGCTCATAAGAATAAAATAAATATTTTTATTGGAAAATGCTTTGAGGTGTATATGCATATATGAAGTGAAGTATGATGAAATTGTCAGGAACTATTAGTGTTTCTTTTAGGATAAGACTAAAATATATCCGTTGTCAAATCTTTATGGACTTTTGAAAAAAAATCAAATATCTATAGAAATAAAATGATGTGGGTACACATGAGGTACAAGATGAGTTGAAATTCATCAAAGTTATATTTATAAAAGCAATTTTTTGACACAAATAAGGTAGAATCTTTAAGTACAAAGGAGAAAAATTCCATGAAGGGAAAATCTCCATGGAGAAGACTATTTTGTAACTAAAAGAACTAGGGTAACTCTGTTGGAAAAGGGCTAAAATAGAGAGATTTGAGGAGTGTGAGAATAAAGGCATCAGAAATTCTGTCACTGATTAAAAAAAAAGAAAAAACAAACCCCAAAATCCCTGTACTGAGTTTATCACTGAGCCTTTCCTCTAACATTGTTTTCTCTCAAAGGCGTTAATTTTTTTTGATAAGTCAAGGGTATTCTAAAAGGATTCTTAGCGATTCATGCCCCCCAAAATAAAACCATCACGGATGTTTTCAGGTAACAGGTTTTCCAATACCTGTTGATCTTGCCATCTTCCTATATCTCCATTTCTGTTGCATTACACAATATTTTTCTACATTTTCTGATCTGGAAATTTCCTTTAATTATACACATCCTTCCTCTGTTTGCTTCTAGTTACTCTACATGTCCCTTGCTTTTGTTCCCAGGCTGAAACAGGAAGAGAACATGTAATTCAGTTTCTATCTTGCTCAGTTTTGAATACTGATGAAAGCGCAGTCACACTTAAAATGTTATGTGGACAAGATGAAAAGATGGTTAATAAATGCCAATACTAAATAGTGTGAGGTATAGAACAATGAAATGGCAGTGTGTTTGTTCCCTCACTAAGAATTGATTGGGAATGGTATTTCAGCAATTTGTGATAAAAAATTACAATGTCAGCATCAAATACATTTCAAAGACACTTTGCAAAGCTTTGCAGATTGAATATGTGCTTTGGAGTTGAATGGTTAATTTGACAAAACGTAGAGTTTATTATGCAGAAAGGGCACACCAGTCACATTTGAATAAAGCCTATAGTGTACTCTATTGAAAGTGTGGCAGCAACTAGCATTCATAGATGCCTCTGATTTCAGGCACGGAGCTAGGTACTCACATGTGCTAGTTACCATCCAGTCAGTAGATAGAAACCACACCAGCTAGTTCAGCACGGATAACTTCATATAAAGAATTGTAAAGTAGATATTAAAAAACTAAAAGGCAAACATGAGGGGCCAGTCCAGTGGTGTAGTGGTTAAGTATGCATGCTCTGCTTCAGTGGCAAGGGGTTTGCTGGTTTGGATCCTGGGCACAGACCTTGCACTGCTCTTAAAGCCACATTGTGGCAGTGTCCCACATAAATAGAGGAAGATTAGCACAGATGTTGCCTCAGGGACAATCTTCCTCACAAAAAACCCAAAAAACAAAAAACAAAATGAAATACTTAGGTATGATGCAGGTAGAAACCGTAGGAAACAACTTTTACACCTACAGTGGGGAAAACAAAGGGGAAAAGGGTAGAAATTATTAATGCATTAGAAGATTGAAGGTGGGACATTGGAGTTGAAAATTTGACCTCTGAGGAGGGTGTCCCCTTCTGTAGATAACGTCTCTCAGGGGAGCACTAAGAATCTGGAGCTGTAGAGGTTAGCAAAATTCCAATCTGAAAGCAATTGTTGCCAGTGAAATAAATTGTTGTGATCCAGTTGAAGATAATTTGCAGATAATATGATTCTAAAAGGTACAGCCAAAAAAAAAAAAAAAAAAGAGAGAAACAGGAAGGAGTTTTTCTTTCCTGCCCTCAAGCCTTCCAGTCTTTCTCTGGTCCCCTCTTCAGACTGAAACCCTAACAGGGAGCCAACAGCAAAGAATCACGGTGTGCAGGGGCCCAGCCCCAGAACCACAGCACAGAGGGTGACGGGTGGGTTTGAAGCTGAGAGGCTGTGTCTTAGTAACGGACACGTGGAGAAACAAAGATTAACAAGACGTTTGCCTTGTCCTCAAGGAATTCTCATTTCAGTAGGAGACACTTGTACTAAGAAGCACAAAAAAATCTGCAGAGGAGATATCCATACATAGACATTTGAATAATAAATTTGAAAATATATGCAATTTTGTTAATACTGATAATGGTATATTTCCTCCTAATGGGAAAATATATAACTATATAATAACTATGGTGGTTCAATCTGGGATAGATCTTAAGAAATAATTTGATCCTGCTCCAAAACCTTTTTCTAGGTAAGGTATTTTTTGAAATGATTTCAGCTCAGATGCCTTGATGAGCTTGCCTGTGGTCACTTAGCTCGTATACCAAGAGAGGTGAGCTAGGACTCACCTCTTTGACCTCACACAGAATGTTTTTATCTACCACTCCATGCTATTCCTCTCAAGCCATACAGAAAATAACAGCTGAATTTCAAATTTGAATTTAAAAGTCACTGGTACCACTAATTATTCCTCACACGGTGCTACATTAAATGCAAGTGGCAGTGTTGTAAGCTGGATAGCCAGAGCAGCTTATTTTTAAATCTTTGTATCTCTTTGACAAGATAATTCTGTAAGTGCCAATCTGCCTGACATTTAGATCACCCTGGCCCACCACCGTCTCTTTAAGTCTGTCTGGATCTGAAGGAAAACTATAGACAAAACACATAAATAAATACATCATAATTTTGCCTAAAGGTAATCTTTAGAATATTTTGTCATAAAACATTGATTGCTGATGGATATATGTATTTTTATATGTGTGTGTGTGTATATATATATATAAAATTTAGTGACGAGCCAGGATTCTATGTCTTTTTCCTTTCACAGAGCCTGTCACAGTTCTTTGAATATTGTATTAAGTATTTGACAGCCACTGTGTCCCTTTGCTTAGGAGCATGGATAGTGGTAACAGCAGAAATCTAGCAGGATTATCAGAACTCACTAGTGCTTATATGTCAACTGCCCAAGGCTTGAAAATATCATATAAAGATGTCACTTCATTTATTCAAACCTTTCTAGTCAGCTCTCTGGATAGTTCACTTACACATGCATATTTACTTTAATTTCAATCCTAATATAGATGTTTCATATTCCTCAAAATCTTTCAGATGAATGGATCTATTTATTAATAGCAATAAAGTTAGATTCTTACTTTTCTGTTACTTAATTACTTCTTTTTTGGGTTTTGAGCATGTATTTGGAATTAGAATTCAAACTTCTCATAAAAATAACAAAAGGATAACACACTACAATCAGAGTTGACAAATGCCCTCACACAAGGAGACGGGTTGAACCTCTCAATGACCCTATTTTAATATCTTCACCTGCAGTTCTGTCTATGGAGGCCAGGCAGTGGGGACATTTCAGGAGGCTGACTAGGTCTCTAACTTGTAGTTGTTTTCTGGGCCTCAGGAAAGGATAGCATGCATTTGTTAGGAGATATGGAGATGCTCTCAAAAGGGGCTGCACATATTTCTTAGCTAAGAAAAATAGTAAGGACTAAAACCAGAAACACATTAACAGGAATGGCAAAACCATGTAGTATTTACCATGTACTAAGCACTATTCTAGGAACTGTATATTTATTAACTCATTTGATCCTCATAAAAATCCTGTGAGGTTGGCATTATTATTATCATCTTTATTTTACCCATAAGAGAACTGAGACCCAGAGGTTAAAAAAGACAGCTGGCAATGGCAAAGCCAGGATTCAAACCCAAGAAGCCTGGCTCCAGTATTTGTGTACTTAACCACATACACCATTGCTTTTCAAATATTAAAAAAATAGATAAGTATTTCCTACTTTTCAGGCTGTATGCCACTTTGTCTTATATGTCATTTTATTCATTTCCTGACATTTAAGGTAATATAATCAGACGATATAAGTAATATTATCGTCTCCATTTTATAGACGGAGAAATGGAAGAAGAGAGAGGCAAAGTTATATTGCCGAGGTTACAAGACTAGTAAATGTGGAGCATCACGACAGATCCTTGTGTCTGGAAATAGTGAATCAGAATTTATGGCAGTGGATCTTAGAAACTGGCGTTTTATCAAGCACTCTGAGCAATTTTTGTAGACACTAAAGTTTGAAAATCAGGGCTCTAAGGGCCAAGATTCTTTTAATTTAGAATTCATGCTAATCTTTGTATCTTACATCAGAATAACACTATTTACATATGTAGAGCACTTTTAATCAATTAGTTCATTAACTCAACAAATTTTTAATGAACACCTGCCATTTCTTAAGTACTCAGCTAAACTGAACCAGAAAGCTGAATACAAAATCTTCCTTGCTCTCAAGGACATTAGAAAAAGTAGGAGAGGAAGCCAGAAAGATATATAATTGTAATATATAGAGAAGTTTGTATACAGATTTGATTAAAATGCCAGATCATCAGAGAGAAGGAAAGGACTACCTGATTATGCCTGGGAGAGCACAAGAAAATTCACAGAGGATCACAGTTCAACTGGATCTTTAAGAATTTGTAAGAGATTAACAAGAAAAGAAAAGGCTTTCCAGGGAGAGTGGAAATCATGTGCAAATGTATGGAGATATGAAAGAATGTCGTATGTTGAAGTTGCTTTGGGATATTCAACAAGAATAGATGCATAGGCAGGTGCTTGAGGGTGGTAGAAGATGAAACGGACATGGGATGGAGGAATGAAAACGTGTTTTGTGAACCATATATACATTTTGTACTACCTAAGGAACTTCTTGCTGTGTAATAAAAACACAACTCAAACTGACCTAATGGCTTGAAGGTAAAGGTATTTATTGTTTTACAAATCTGGAAGCCCCATGTTAAGTGTTGATTAATTCCATGGCTCAACAATGTCATTGAGGTCCCAGTTTCTTTCTCCTCACTCTCCCATCCACTGATTACTCTTTATCTTAAATCTAGTTTTTTCTTCTCATGGTCATACCCAACCATCATCAGTGTTTCAGACTCTTATACACTGGGGAAGAACTTTTATCTTGGCAGGCCAGAAAAGCATCCTAAAATTCATGCCTACTAGGTTGGCTATTCAACATTGTACTAGTTATCTATTGCCGTGTAACAAACAACCTCAGAACCTAGCAGCTTAAAACAATAAATATTTATTATCTCACACAGGTTCTGTGAGTGAGGAAGATGTGAGCAGCTTAAAACAGTGTCTTCAGGTCTCTTATGACAGCTAGAGCTGCAGAATTCTGAAGACCTGACTGGGGCACGAGGATCAGATTCCAAGATGGCTCACTTTCACAGATGGCGAGTTGATGTGGGCTGTTAACAGGAGGCTCCATCTTTCCATTGGGCTGATTGCATGTGCTCAAAGTATGGCAGCCATTTTCCCTCAGAGTGGTACAAAGAGAGCAAGGCAAAAGCCACAATATCTTTTATTTCCTAGCCTCCAAAGTCATACTCTGTCATTTCTGTAACATCTTCTTTGTTATACAGATCAACCCTATTCATTGAGGGAGGGGACTACACAGAGACATGGATATTAGGAGGCATGAATCACTGAGGACTATATTGGGAAACTTCACCTTTTTCTGAATCTTCCTAAGTATTTAATTAAGGATATGGCAGGAGCTGAGTCATGGATTCCAACACAGACACTATTCTAAAATGGCAGCCTCAGCTACTATGAGACAACCAGGAAGAAGTCCTGCTCTCCTTACTGATTACTGTTTTTCTGCTTATATTCAGACTACCACTCCCTGGAAATAATAAGAAAAAATAAGTAGTAAAGAATTGCATTCTGGAAGATGTGATTTCAATTGTTAAAGGGTCTTAAATAGGAACAATGCAGAAAAAGTAATGTTTTAGTGTTTGCTAGAAATGACAGTTTTCAATTTATTTCATAGATTCACCCTTTTAGAAGAAAGTCCATAGGTAAGACAATAGGTAGGAGCAGATTACAGATAACTCAATACAACTCCTTAAGACAAATTTCTGCAACACACTCTATACATACCAGCCTGTCCTTTTATTATGGAAATGTGACAGCTATTCTTCACACTTAAGAAGAAACCTGCCAGGCTTTTATTCTGAATATGTTCTATGCAAGAAACAAAGGCCTCTGAAACGACATTAGCAAGTGTTCCCCCCATCCCTCACTCTCTAGGCCTGTGATGTTTATACTGTGGTAATATGCTTCTGAGATGTTCAAGTGGGAGTCTTAATCTTTGGCATGATTTTTCTAAATAACACTTGAAATAAAGACTAGAAACCTTTAAAATTATAAGAGCAACATATACTCTTTAAGAAAATTCAAGAAAGCAAAAGAAAACAAAACCTATTGCTAATATTTTGGTTTGTAACATGTCAATCTTCGTTTTGCCAAATGGACACATGGATGTGTGACTAAAAAGACTTGTAGTCTGCTTTCACTTAACTTATTTTAAATGTTTTCTTGTGGCATGAAATTTATTTTATGAAAATTAATTTTACGAAAATGTTGTATTACATCACTAGATATACCACTATTAATTTTACCAGTTTTTATATTGCTAGGTATTTAGGTGCTTTATGCATTTTTATAATTATTACTATAAAAATCAAAGCATTATTGCAAATATCTGTACTCAACTTTAATGTTTTTCTTTAGGTGTATATATTTTTTTTGCTGTAAAAGTATTTTTAAAATGTGATTAGCTTTTTTTTTTTCAGATGTCCATCGTAATACATTTCAAATTCTGTGTAGATTACATCATGTTCACCACCCAAAAGCTAATTATAGTCCCTCCCCTCACAGGCATTTTTTTTTTTTTTTTTTTGAGGAAGATTAGCCCTGAACTAACATCTGCTGCCAATCCTCCTCTTTTTGCTGAGGAAGACTTGGCCCTGAGCTAACATCCGTGCCCATCTTCTCTACTTTTCCTTTTATACATGGGACACCAGCCACAGCATGGCTTGCCAAGAGGCGTCATGTCTGTACCTGGGATCCAAACCAGCGAACCCCGGGACGTGCAAAATTAACCACTGGGCCCCCGGGCTGGCCCATTTTCAAGTTTTTTTTTTTTTTTTTTAACTTTTACATATGCTTAATTATCCTTCAAGATGATTCTTATCAATTTCAGATATACACACAGCCCAAGGAATTATCATTTACGAATAACACTAATCTTATGAAACATAACTTTGTTTTCATTTTATTTTTTCATTATTGGTGAGGATAAATGTTTTTCATACTGTTAATGCATATTTGCCTGTTTTCTTCCATTATTGCCTATTCAAGTCTCATCCTTGGCTCTTTTTCTATTGGGATGTAAACTATGTTCTTACTTCTTATTTATTTGGAAGAGCACTTTTTATTAAAATGTTGGATATTTTTGCCATTCGTTCTGCAGGCATTTTTAAACAAATTTTTATTCACTTTCTATTTGTATTTAAGAAATTTTGATGAAAGGAATGTTTGATTTTAATTTATCATAATACATTTACCTGTATTTCCATTGTGACAGTTTTGCCCGTGATCAATGTGTGTTTGGCTAGATTTCCAGCTAGAGCTATTACATTTATCTGCTTTTTTTACATTAAAGTCAACAATCCAGCTGGAATTTATTTTGGTGTACAACGTGATTTCAGGACATAGGTTTTTTCAAAATAGACAAATTGACAATATATAGGAAAGTAAGTTTGTATAAATTTTTTAATAAGTATTAGAAGCATTTTGAGTGAGTAATCCTGCTTCTTTTTCTTCTTACTCTTTGACGATTGTAATCCTATCTATATAGCTTTATTTTAGAAAAGTAACAGATGTAACCAAAATATATATACAAGGATATTCTGCACAACATAATTTATTAAGAGCAAAAATTAGAAGCAACTCAATGTACAACCTTAACATTAAATAATTGGTAAATGAAAAAATTAATATAAGAAAATATGTAACTACTGAAATCTGAATAACATTCAATTATTTTGGAAAAATTCTCAAGATATAATCTTAAAGGGAAAGAGACTACAGAGGTGTGTGTGAATGATCTACCTTTCATAGATTATATTCAAATATATATTTTATATTTTATAGCATTTTCAGTTTCCCGACATAAGTAGGTATTGCTTTATTAAATATAAAACACAATAATGATTTTTGAAAAATAAATATGTGATTATAAAATCAAAAGGAAATAACTTTTTTCCCTCGGACATAATTTTGTAATGATTAATTATGAACTTGTTTCTGATTTGGATAGCCTCAAGTGTATATACCAAGTTTAGTCATGACAATTAACAAGCAAGCATGAGAGTCACGTAATTGTAATGATAGAAGCATTTATTGACTCATTAATATTTATGATGAAACATAGTCAGTGGTAATTTAAGAAATGACTTCCTGGAGCTATTCAAGCAACGAAACAATAGAGGTTTTACATTGGAAGCTTCTGTAAAAAATGGTAAAATCTAGTAGCATTAGAAAGCAGGGGGATTATTCTCATGCTCAAATATACTCGACTGAATTAAATTTCAGGTTTGATTTGCTTTTCATGGAAAATGTTTTTCCTGAAGTTACTTCTAAATATTATTTCAATTATTTGTTTCCTCATATAACCCATCTTCTATATTATTAAAATTATTTATATGTTTCAATCAAAACAAAATTTAATTCTTATATCTACATGGCACAATGACCCACACGTATTAGGTAGTAAGTATATATTATTGAGTTAGATTTTAAACATATATGACATATATGATTGTATTCAGAGTCAGCTTCAGATGCTAGCAAGCTGTACAGCTGCCCAGGGCACCTCTCTTAGAAGGGTTCCACCCTTGGTTTAATGTTACGCTGTTGGCATCTTGAAATTTTTAATAAATTTTGAAGAGAGAGGGCCTTGCACTTTGATTTTGCACCAAATCCTGCCAATTACGTAGCTGATCTGACGGTACTGGTTAGGCATCTTTTTGGAGCAAGGAATAATATCAAAACTACAAGTGTAACTGGCCTAAGGCAAAAAAGGAAATCTGGGGAGGGGCGTGTATCAAATGTCTTTAGGGAACGTATAAGTTCCGGTGAAACTTTACCCAGGGCTCATACTGTGGGATCAGGTTGTGCTGCTTCCATGCCAGCTTTGTTCTCAGGCCCACC